TTTTGCTATTTTATATCAATTGAATTATTTGATTTTTGCTAGAAATAATAAAACTAACTAATGAATTAAAATAACTTAATAATAAATTTTATTTTAAAAAATTTTAAATTTAAGTAACATACAAGTGATTGTAGAATAAAAAATGTGAAAGAATTGCTTTTTATCCTGTGACGTAAAAAACCCGTTTCATTTTTTCGTTAGTAACCAAAAAACGGTTGAATTCTTCGAAACGTTTCTGGGAACCGCGAACGAATTCATTTCGCAGAATCCTCGAAATGAAATATCAAAATGCCCCAAAAAAAGCCCAAACTAATTCCCAACGTCCTTCACTCCCATGTGAAACCCAATCTCCAGCTCACTCTCCTGTGCACTTGATCCCATTTTCCCCAAATTCCCAATCCTAACATCGGCATCTTCTACCAGGTACGCGGGTTCCTCTCTAGATCCGTCGATTCAATGCTTGATTTCACGCTTTTCCGCCATTCAAATCGACCCAGTTTTGACGTCGCTCGATGCGTGATCTTTGATTGTGTTCATAGTTCCTCTTGTTGAGTTTAGTTTGAGAGTTTCTGAGTCTTAACGTAAGTTGGCTTAGATCTGACTTCTGCTACATGAAATTTGGTTTTTCTTGTTTTCAATTTCACTGTTGGTCTATGCATTGTTTCCGTATTGTATTTTCTGTTAGTGAATTGATTAGAGGAAGCTCAGGAAAAGGATTTTTGTATTTTCTTCCATCTTCATCTTTACGTGGTATTTAACTGTTTAAAGTGATTTAGCCTTCTGCAGCCTAATTGCAAGACTGAACTGAATTGTTTGCAAGTATGGAAAAGTTTTTAATTGCCTTTAAAAAGATGTTTCACTTTTAATTTTTGGTAGATAGTTGTGTGGAAACTTTAAGCATTGTGAAATTTTTGCATTTCTTCCCTTATTGATGAAAATGTCATTCTATGATGAAAAACATATTGTTTAGATACTGTGTTTTACATGGCCACTCAAGCAGCAATCAATGAAACCAGTGGATTTTTATGTCTGTATATGTTGTCGCTTGTCATTCTGCTTACAATATGATATGTAATATATGCAATCTTTTTAGATTTATCTTACAACTAAGTTTTGTTGATTGCCTTTTTGTTAATTGCAGTGAATGTTATGAGTTTGCCAGATTTGGCCATCTTGTTTGTGTAGCTGCAAGGCATCTTGGCTCATAAATTTCATTTTTCTGAAATTGTGGTCAAATATGGGACATTTTAATCCACAACCTGGAAGCAATACATTTCATGGAGAGTTCAGGGATTGTCCTGTTAAGCCTTCCAGAGGTGCATTGGCATGTATGATTAATGCTGAAATTGGGGCTGTTTTGGCTGTCATGAGGAGAAATGTAAGGTGGGGAATCCGTTATGTGGCAGATGATGATCATCTAGAGCACTCTCTCATCCATTCTTTGAAAGAATTGCGGAAACAAATTTTTTCATGGCAGCATCAGTGGAACACTATAAACCCTGCTGTATCCCTCCAGCCATTTTTGGATGTCATTCGGTCTGATGAAACTGGTGCTCCAATTACTGGTGTTGCTTTGTCATCTGTTTACAAAATCTTAACCCTTGATGTATTTGATCTGGATACCGTGAATGTGGGGAAAGCTATGTGTCTGATAGTTGATGCAGTGACTAGCTGCAGGTTTGAGGTAACTGATCCAGCATCTGAGGAAGTGGTGCTGATGAAGATACTTCAGGTTCTGTTAGCTTGCATGAAAAGTAAAGCAGCAGCTAGGTTGACTAATCAGCATGTTTGCAACATAGTGAATACTTGTTTTCGTGTAGTGCATCAGGCAAGCTCCAAAAGTGAATTGTTGCAACGAATTGCACGCCACACAATGCATGAACTGGTTAGGTGTATTTTTTCTCACCTCCCTGAGATCAGCAATTCAAAACCTGTGATAGCTACTGGAAGTGGGTCATCTGCTGCTGAAGTGGTAATCATTTTAGAATAATCCTCTTGCATTTTATCTCTCCTGCTTTAAATAGTGACATAATCATTCTTAGCATAATTCTCTTGTAGGATATCTTTCCTCCTTTAAATAGTGTCTTGTGTTCTATTATTGAGAGTAGTGGTTGGAATTCTTCTGTTTGGTAGGAAAACACCTACCATCATGGAACCTATTATTATTATTATTATTTCAATTTCTACACAAACATACATATTGACATGTAATTACAGTAAAGCTGCATAAAATAGTTTGGGAGTGAGCTTTAGATTGGCAGCTTCAAGTTGTGAGTAAAGTGGGAATGAACATTGAGGTTTTCTGTTCTCTGTTTCTTAGTTAGTTTGATATGCAGACTAGATTACTAATGTTCCTTTTTTTTTTTTCTTTTTTCTTTTCAAAGAAAAATTATAACTAAAATATGAGTTGTTCTTCTTTTGCAGGCAAGTGTACCTGACAAGGACCACACATTTGGAAGTATACAGCAAGAAAATGGTCATGTTGGTGTTGAATATGATGGTCAGTCCTCCAATGAACATGCTTCAAGCATTCCCATGGGAAATTCAACTGATGAAATGGATGCAAGCAGGATTGAGGAAACTGGCACGGTGGAGGATGCCCAGGATAGTGAAAATTCAATGACAGAGCCCTTTGGTATCCCATGCATGGTGGAGATATTTCATTTCCTTTGTTCTTTGTTGAATGTCATTGAGCACGTTGGTATTGGTCCTAGATCAAATCCCATAGCATATGAAGAGGATGTTCCACTCTTTGCTCTGGGGTTGATTAACTCAGTTATAGAGTTGGGTGGGCCATCATTCAGTCAACACCCCAGGTTATTGGCTTTGATTCAGGATGAATTATATCGTAATCTGATGCAATTTGGTTTGTCAATGAGCCCACTGATTCTTTCTACTGTATGTAGCATTGTTCTCAATCTATATTATCATCTGTGTAAAGAACTGAAGGTACAGCTAGAAGCTTTCATTTCTTGTGTACTTTTGAGACTTGCACAAAGCAAGCATGGATCTTCATACCAACAGCAGGAGGTTGCCATGGAAGCTCTGGTTGACCTGTGCAGGCAGCAGACATTCATGGCTGAGATGTATGCCAATTTTGACTGTGATATAACCTGCAGTAATGTATTTGAAGACCTTGCTAATCTGTTGTCAAAAAGTGTGTTTCCTGTTAATGGGCCTTTGTCTGCAATGCATATTCTAGCTCTTGATGGCCTGGTATCCATGATCCAAGGTATGGCTGCAAGGATTGGCAATGAGTTGCCTGCTTCAGATGAGGATTCAGTAAACTTTGAGCGATTTGAAGCTTTTTGGACATTGAAATGTGACAACTATAATGATCCTAGTTGTTGGATTCCATTTGTTCATCAGACGAAATACATCAAGAAAAAGTTGATGGTGGGTGCTGATCATTTTAATCGTGATCCTAAGAAGGGTCTGGAATTTCTTCAAGGAATGCAGTTATTGCCTGATAAACTTGATCCACAAAGTGTAGCATCCTTCTTCAGGTACACAACTGGGCTGGATAAGAATCTTATTGGAGATTTTCTGGGAAATCATGATGAATTTTTTATTCTGGTGCTTCATGAATTTGCTAGGACTTTTGATTTCCGTGAGATGAATTTGGATACTGCATTGCGACTTTTCTTGGGAACTTTCAGATTGCCTGGAGAATCACAGAAAATACAGAGGATTCTTGAGGCATTTGCTGAAAGATATTATGAGCAATCACCACATCTATTTTTTAACAAGGATGCTGCTCTCTTGTTGTCTTATTCACTTATAATGCTCAATACAGATCAACACAATGTACAGGTAAAGAAAAAGATGACTGAAGAAGACTTTATCCGTAACAATCGTCATATCAATGGAGGGAATGATCTTCCTAGAGAGTTCCTCTCAGAGCTTTACCACTCAATTTGTGAGAACGAAATCCAGATGATCCCAGACCAAGGTTCTAGTTCTGCAGTGATGACTTCAAGCCACTGGATTAATGTAATGCACAAATCCAAGGAAGCAACTCCTTTCATCGTCTGTGATTCTAGGTCTCTCCTTGACCATGATATGTTTGCTATCTTATCTGGTCCCACAATTGCTGCAATATCAGTGGTTTTTGATCAAGTGGAGCAGGAAGATATTTTGCAGACTTGTGTTGATGGATTCTTGGCCATTGCCAAAATTGCTGCCCACTATCATTTTGATGATGTTTTGAATGACTTAGTTGTGTCTCTTTGTAAATTCACAATCCTTTTGACTCCATTATCTATTGAAGAAACTATCCTTGCCTTTGCTTATGATGTCAGAGCTAGGATGGCAACCACAGCAGTTTTCACAATAGCAAGTGGCTATGGTGATTATATCCACTCTGGCTGGAGAAACATATTGGATTGTGTCCTGAGCTTGCTCAAGCTTGGCCTTCTACCTACTGGTCTGGTTAGTGATGCAGCTGATGATAGGGAGTCCTCACCTGAACTGGAGCCTGGGAAACCTGCTACAAGTTCTTTATCAACATTGCACACACCATCTTTTGCTCCTCAAAGGAAATCATCTGGTCTGATTGGTCGGTTCAGCCAGCTCTTATCTTTTGATATGGAGGAGCCAATGTTGCAGCCAGATGAGGAACTGCTTGCTGCTCAGCAACGTGCTCATGAAGTAATACAGAGCTGTCACATTGATAGTATATTTACAGAGAGTAAGTTTCTCCAGGCTGAGTCTTTATTGCAACTTGTGAGGGCTCTTATCTTTGCTGCAAGCCGACTTCAGAAGGGAAATAGCTCTATGGAAGATGAAGGCAGTGCAGTGTTCTGCCTGGAATTGCTGATTGCAGTTGCACTGAATAACCGTGATAGGATTTTGCTTGTCTGGCAGGGGGTTTATGAGCACATATCCAATATTGTTCAGTCTACTGTCCTGCCCTGTACTCTAGTAGAAAAGGCCATTTTTGGGCTCCTTAGGATATGCCAGCGTCTACTTCCCTATAAGGAAAACCTGACTGATGAGCTCCTGAAGTCCTTGCAACTGATATTGAAACTTGATGCGAGGGTTGCTGATATATATTGTGAGCCTATAACACAAGAAGTCATGCATCTTGTAAAAGCAAATGCAACCCACATCAGATCCCATGTGGGTTGGCGCATTATCATCTCCTTGTTATCTATCGCAGCTCGACACCCAGAAGCATCTGAAGCAGGATTTGAGACACTATCATTTATCATGTCTGAGGGGGCACATCTTCTGCCTTCTAACTATGTTCTTTGTGTGGATGCAGCAAGGCAATTTGCTGAGTCTCGAGTTGGAGAGGTTGGCAGGTCCGTTTCTGCACTAGATATGATGGCAGGTTCTGTAGTTTGTCTGGTAAGATGGTCTTGTGAGGCAAAAAATGATGTGGCGGAGGAAGATGCAATGAAAGTAAGTCAAGATATTGGAGAGATGTGGATGAGGTTGGTGCAGGGACTAAGGAAAGTATGTTTAGACCAGAGGGAAGAAGTGAGGAACCATGCTGTTTTAACTTTACAGAGTTGCTTGGCAGGAGTAGATGTGATCCAGCTTCCAAGAGCCTTGTGGTTTCATTGTTTTGATCATGTAATCTTCAGGTTGGTGGATGAGTTGTTAGATATTTCACTAACAAACTCCTCAAAAGACTACCAGAAAATGGAGGGTACACTTGTTCTAGCCATGAAGCTTATGTCAAAAGCTTTCTTACAATCACTACAGGATCTGTCTCAGCAACCATCATTCTGCAAATTATGGCTTGGGGTTCTCAATCGAATGGAGAGATACATGAAGGTAAGATTCCGGGGAAAACGTAGCGAAAAGATTCATGAATTAGTTCCAGAGCTTCTCAAAAACACCCTGTTGGTCATGAAGACAACCGATATTCTAATGCCAAGTAATGATGTTGGGGATGATAGTTTTTGGCAGCTGACCTGGTTACATGTCAAGAATATAGTCCCATTGATGCAATCCGAAATATTCCCAGATGATGAGTTGGAGCGAATAGAACATAACAAAGCTGGGGTACTTCCTGTGACTGAAGGTGCGGTGCTTGTTCCTTCTAGTGAGACAACAGCTTGAAAGATTGCTTTTTGAATGCAGAGCCAATAGCTTAATGTCGAGATAGGTGTAAGTTAGCCTTGATCTATCTACTAATATGCCAATATATAAGAACCCATGAATTTGAAAGTGAACCCACAAAGAAGCGTAGGGAGCAAAGTTTCATAGGAGGATAAAGCTTCATTTACAGTCCCCGGCGGGAGCTATACTGAAGGTTTGTAGAGAGTCTTTTCTTTGTCAAGGAATCTAATATGGTAAATAGGTATTCCAGCATGAAAATTTTTTGTACCGAGCATACGAGTCTCTTTAGTTTCCTAAAGCCATTGCTTCTGTATACTTGGTGTCATATACATGCGATCATACATACAGTAATTTTAGTTCATCTGCAATTTTTGGAATTTCTTGCAGAGTTTTATATGCATTGTGGAGTCTGACAACTGAAATTTTCTCATACAATTATATTCATTTTTCATCCAGTTCTTATCTTGTCCGACCAGCTATGCGGTTGTCGAGATGTATTTGTGTTTTAAAAGAAAGGAAAAAAAAATTGTTACAAGGAAACAATAAAATAAAAAATATATAAAAATATATATGGCATTAAGTAATAAATTTCTAAATATTTTAATGAATTTAAGAGGTCTTGTAATATTATAATAAAAATCAGTGAAAGTAAGATTGGTCCTACTAAATTTAATTTATGTGACTTATAGCATATGGAGTTATTAATCAAACTAAATAATTTTTTTTTACTTGAATTTTAAAAAAATATATAAATATATAAAATAAAATAATAATAATTACAACCAAACTAACCTAAAGAAAACTTTTATATGCATCCCATCTCATTTTATTAATACTAATAAAAAAAACTAGTACTTAAATTTTAAAAATAATTTAAGAATAATGTTTTTATATATCATTTAACTAATTATTTTAATAAATT